GGCAGCTGAAGGTAGACGTAGTAACATCTAGGCTCTCCTCATCCCTAGCCCTAAGGATAAAATGAACCCCATGGTCTCCAACAACGCCTCTATTTCCTCGAACCTTAACCCACTGTGATAAAATTTCTTTCCCTGGGGGAGGGGTTGATACTGTGTATGCACACATACATGCTCCATTTCCATACGTATTTCTCTTCCATATCCTTTTATTTTTTCCTCTTTAGCTCTGCCCAAGCAGCCAAACCCAGTGTCTGCCTACATAAGGTAACCTGCACTGAGGTCGGTGCTGGAGGAAGGTGACCAGCACGCACGAGATGCAGGCTCTCAAGCAAGCTCACCCTGGAGGAGCGGACAGCTGCCATACAAGGCATCCAGCCAACTATTAGGAGGCTTCTGGAAGGAACTGACACTTGAGGGAGTCTTAAAGGACAAACAGTGGTTAACCTCTTGATGGATGGGCCCTGGGATCAGAAACCCCAGCTGAGGGAGGTTGGGAGCAGATGAACAAGGTTGAGAGAGAGGGAGGAGGCAGAGGCAGAGCCCCTGCACAGGAGGTGTTAAAGGGTCTAGAGCTCCCACCACCTCCTCTCACATTTGAGCTCCCTCTACCCTGAAACATCAGGTGTGTGCGGCCATGTGCGTGAACAGACACCTGAATGAATCAGCTTGGAAAGAGAAAAGGCTATTTTAGCTCACATTTCTAAAGGTTTCAGCCACAATTAGCTTTGGGCTTGGGGCGTGGCATGTGATAGTAGAAGCACGTAGAGGGGCATGTGGCTCAATTTAAGGAGGCCAAGAAGGAAAAAGAGGAAAGGGAAAGAGCTGGGATTCTCTTATCTCCTTCAAGGACCTGTCTCCAAATGACCTAAAAATCTCTCCTTTCTTAAAGGCTCCATGAATCCCAAAAGTATTTCCCTGGGAACCAAGCCTTTATCGTGTAATACGTTATTTCTCTGTTTGTGAAACGGAGCTGATTCAAGCCAGATTAGATTAGATTAAACTCAGGGTTATTGGAAAACTAGTCTCTGGAAGGCAAGTTCTTTGGCTCCAAAGGAAGGAGGCCAGGGAAAAAGGGAGAGAGAAAAGATGGGGAAGAGGGAAAGAAAGCGTGTGCGAGCACAGAGAGGGGCGAGAGCAGAGAGAACAGAATGTCTGGATTGTATTGGGAAGAGCCTCTAAGGAAGGGCAGCCTAGTCGTTGGGCTGGAAAGTTCAGGGTTGGGGGCAGGGTATACCAGGTGGGGACTGAGGCATGCTGGGAGAACCTGGAGGCCAGGTCTACTTTGGAATGTAAAACATGCTCCTCAGCCCCTTATCCCCCGGATCTTAAACCAAACATCAGGGAACTTTTGATGCCAAGAAGACCTTGTAGACCTTTAAAGACCCTTAAGACCCAAACATAGCACATACATAACAGAAAGGTCTAGAAATTCTGCTTGTTTGGAGAGTAGCCGAAACTGAGATTTCCTACAGAGTACAAGACAGTTGAGTGTCAAATGGGGAGGTCAGACAAGCTAGAGCTGTTTGTAGAAGGAAGCGATGAGCGGAAGTGAGCATGGTGGGCACGGAGGTTCCCGCACTACTCTCTCTGCTTTGGGATATTCGGAAACTCCTGCAGCAAAAAGTAAAGAACAGAAACGACGAAGACAAGTACCAGAAGGAGCTGCACAAGCCACACCCCAACCCCTACCCTGCTCTGTCCAGTTAGAGGGGAAGTACGCAGAGATTGGAGTTTCGTTGGCCGCACCCAGAGTGTCTAAGATGTCTCTTAGAATCTGTTCTGAACACGCGACGTGGCAGAAAACCGATCTCGCTGAATTACTCTGACGAGCGTGACAGGCTGTCTTTTTGGTTATATGTCCTTTGTTATATTTTAATATCAGTTACTATTAGTCTCGAGAAACAAATTGGAGTGTGTTTCCTCCTGCTCTATTTTCTGAAGGAATTTGGCTGATAAGGGTGTTATTTCCTCCTCTGGTGTTTGAGCGAATTCACCAGGGAAACAGTTTTGGTTAGAGAGTGCTTTCTTTTCTTAAAAAGTGTTATTGAGATATCATTGACAATAGAATTGGAGATATTTAAAGTATACAACGATATTTTGGAGTCATACATTCTAATAACCCTCACAGCCCAGATATTTAACATAGCTGTCTTTTCTAATAGCTACTATGTGTGTATGAGTATGTGTATGTGTGAGAGAGATTTAAGAGCTATCTTCTTGGTAGGACTGGGGAGATGGTTCCGCCGGCAAAGTGCTGGCCGTACAGGCCTGAGAACCTGAGCTTGGTTCCCTAGCACCCACATAAAAGCAGGGCACAGCAGAGTACTGCTCTAACCCAGCACTGGGGGATGGAGACAGGCAGCTCCTAGGGGCTCACTGGCCAATAAGCCAAAACAGCAAGCTCCAGGGTTAGTGAGAGAGCTCATCTCAAAAAATAAGGAAGAAAAGTTATTGAGAAACACTCCCGATATCAACTTGCATGTACACACACACACACACACCCCACAACATGTAAACTATTTTCTTTGAGTGTGATAAGGAATTCAGTGTCCCCAGTAGATAAGACTATTAGAATCTATTTTTATTTTGTGTTAATTTTTTATAATCTTTACTTTGTTAAACAATTATCCCATCAGTTACTAGATTTATTGACATAAAGTTAAGCATAATACTTTCTTCTTTTCAGTTTTTAGTCTCTGAGTCGATATCTCTTCCTTCATTCTTTAATCTTCTTTTTCTCTCACTCCTCTTCACCCTCCCTTCCTCCCTGCTCCCATGCCTCTTCCTCCCTTTTCTTTCTCTCTCCTGGATCAAGCTCTTTAGCTAAGAGTTTGCTATCTTTTCAGTTACTTTTAGGGAACTAACTTTGTTAATTGCTTCCCTATTGGGGGGTGTTTTTGTGCAGTGTATACAGTTGCTGATTTCTGTACCCCAGAGATCTGCTTGCAGTCTGGATTTGCTGTTGTCAGTATCATGAACGGTTCTCTGACTCAGTGTTTTGTAAAGGACTGTTCTCCATCACCTTCTTATTGGTCAGTAAAGAGATGAAGAGCCTAGAGCTAGACAGGAGAGGATAAGGTGGGACTTCCGTGCCCTGGGGAGTCGCCTTGAGGGCTCAGATGAATAAGGAGGTGCCAGAGAGAAACTAAGATGTCGGGTAATATCATGCGGCTGGAAAGTAGCTGGGAAGTAGGCCAGGCCAGCATAGTCCAGTTAGAATAGATCAGAATCTGCCTAGTTATAATGCCTAGAGCTTATTAATGAATATAAAGGTCCCCGTGTCATTATTTAGGAACAGAAGTGAATGCAGACAAAACAGTACACACTTCTAATTCTCAAAGATTTGCTCTTGTCGTTACGTTTCCCCTTCTATTTACTTATGGTTTCTCTGCTCTTCTTTTTTCTAGCTTCTGTCTTTTGTTTGTTTGTTTTCGAGACAAGGTCTCCCTATGTGGCCCAGGCTAGCCTCAAACTTGCGATCCTCCTGCCTCTGCCTTCTAAGTGGCAACATTCCTTTGACTTGGACACAGCCTCCCTTGCTGGCTTGGAACTCACTGAGTATGTTAGTCTGAGTTGCCAGCCAAGCCCAGGACCCACCTGTCTCCACCCCCTGGCATGGGGAATCACATGGGTTCTGAAGATTGAACCCAGATGCTCAGACATGTGAGCTGAGAACGCATGTTACCAGCTAGCACCTCAGTCTGCCTTCTAGTCATCCCTCTTCAAGTCAAGTCATCTTTCTTAGTAAACTTAACTACTTTCTTCCTTTATCTGTGAGCTACAAAATTTGACAGCTTGTATTTGCCTTCACCATTTACTTTAAAAATATATTTGGACTTTTACTTCTCTCTCTCTCTCTGACCTCTATCTATCTATTTTTCTGTCTGTCTGTCTGTCTGTCTGTCTGTCTATGTTTGTTTATTTATTTGAATGCCATGGCACATGTGTGAGGGTCAGAGGACAACTTACAGGAATCTATTCTCTCCTTCTACCAAGTGGGTCCCAGGGATTGAACTCAAGTCATCAGGCTTGGCAGCAGGCTACCTTTACCCATGGTTAGCCCATGGTTTCTTCTTTTACTCATGGTTTATTTAGAAGTATAGCCTTAACTTTCAAACATCTGAGCTCTGCTAGATATCTTACTGTAATCGGTTTCATATTTAATTTCATTGCTGTTGGAGAGCATCTCAGTAAGTTGCAATGTTCTGAGACCTGTTTTATGACTCAACGTGTTCCATCTTGTCAAGCATACAGTGGGTAGTTGGAATGTTCTACAAGTGTCAACTGGGTCATGGCACTAATACTGTTGTTCAGATAGACTCTCTATGTTTTTACTGGCTTTTCTTTTCCTTTTAAAAACTTTTTATTAAAATTAAAAAAAAAATTGAGACAGGGTTTTACTATGTAGCCAAACTGCTATTGGTCAGGAAGCACAGTGGTGGACATGCCCATTAACCCTGTTCTAAAGGAGAGGCATCCCTTAAATACAACGAATGCTTATGCTAGGTGTGATGGCAGACTCCTTTAAACCCCAGCACTCAGAGGCAAACAGAATTCTGTGAGTTTGAGGTCAGCCTGGTCTATATAGCAAGCTCAAGGCTATCCAGGGCTACACAGAGAGACCCCTTCTCAACAAAACAATAATGTTCATGAGTGGTATTATTTATAAACCAAGTAAGCATGGTCCTGGGGCAGTACAAATGTACGCACATGTCCCTTCAAGAGATGTGATTGGCTGTCAGCCTCCCTATCATGCCTTGAGATGCACCACAAAGGCCTGGGTACTCTGGGCCAGTGATTTGGGCCACCCCTGCCTGACACATAGTTGTTTCAGTGAGTAGTCACTTCTCTTGGGCCCTCTATCAATGAAATTGGCCCACTACAGTCTTCCTCCCTTTCCTCTTTCCTGCTCTCATGGGTACCACAACTACACACCCCCTTTATCCGTATGACACTTTCCCAACTGTTTTTGTATCTAATTCCATTTTAGTGTCTGCTTCTCAGAGGACCCAAGTGAAGGCTAGTGGAAATGCTCCCTGGGAAGGGACAAAGAGAAAACATTGGAAAGAAAAGGGACACATCCCATTTAGGGCCAGCAGCATGTGCAATGCATCGGGGAGGGGAGACTGCAGATATTGTACTGTAGGTTGAGTTCACAGGATCCACTAGGTCCCAGAATTCATTTTGCCTCCCGGATGTCCCACCTTCTAGTCTACCCTTTCTTATAGGCCGTAAGTTTTTTAATTGCCAGGTGATGCATCCATACAATATACAAGATTCTCTCTCTCTCTCTCTCTCTCTCTCTCTCTCTCTCTCTCTCTC